TGATATTTTCATGCACTAGAATCCAGTCTATGCAGTCTTACCGATCAAATAAATCAATGACTAAAGTATAAAAATAATAAAATAATCCATTAACTCCGCCGTTTCCAGTTGCACGCCCGGATGAGCAAGGAAGAGGGTTAGAGACAGTGGCAAACTCTACGTAAAACTTAGCCACGTGCCCTTCACGGTACTGCCGTCATCGCAAAATATGTGGGTCGCCTGGGTTAGGTAGACTCGTCAGGCTGTGAAAAATCGGCGGGGGATCAGAACCTGCTCATCGCTTTCTAGCAGCAGAGGGAGCAGCAGAACACCAACGGCTGCTGAAGACCGAAGCAACGACGACGAAACAGCCAATCAGCAACGGAGTCGACCCGTTCTCAACGGAGGAGGCAGATAGCGCGATGCCATTATAGCACGCAAGAAGAGACCCCGACACAACAACTGGGAGATTACGGACAGATCTTGGAATATTTCTTCACTCAGAGGGAAAGAGCAAGAGTCAGTTGATGAAGGCACAATAAATCAACTCGAAATAATTGGACTCTCGTCAACGAAGCGCCAGCGCTACTTAATCTCGAATCCATGTCGGCAGAGGCTATTTTACTCAAGTGTCGATATTACAAGAGCGCTCAGACCGATGTTGGTGCTCTGCCAGAACCCAACCTGGTTGATAAAATCATTGAACAGAAGCCTGTTAGCGGAAGAGTAGCAATCCCTCGACCGAAGCTATAACCGGCTAAAGCGTTGACCTTGGCACAGATCCATGCGCCCAATTTGGAGAGAGAATATACTTCCTTGAGGAAGAACAGTGTCCTCCGTCCGAGTGCCCAATGCAAAGTTCCTCATACTCATGGGCGAGTTTAATAGTAGACAATGAAAAGTGGAACGGCGCGATTGGAATAAACGGCCCTAGCGACCTCAACAATAACGGCATGAAGTTGTTGCGGTTTCGAGCAAACAATGGACTGTCCATTGTCAACACCTCCTTCGAGCATCGAAAAGTGCATCAGTACACCTGGTACCGGGATGCTTGTGCACAGAAGTCGATGATCGATTTGATAATCGTATCATCTGACCTAAGACGCTCAGTAATGGATATTCGTGTTAAAAGAGGCGCAGAGCTATCAACCGATCACCACCTTGTTGTTGGCACGCTACGCTGTAAGAAATGGAGTACCATACGAAGATCCGGTGGCAGAAGCAACCGGAGAATCAAATGGGAAACACTGTCTTCGGTAGACACGAGAGCGAAATTTGCAATCAACATCGCACGACGGTTTGAACAGATCCCAGCGATGACAATTGATGTTGAAACCGAGTGGCGGTTGTTTAAGAGAGGCCTACTTCAGGCTGCCGCCGAATGCTGCGGATATAAGCGGGTTCGCCTGCCGCCTGGAGATCAGAAAAGATCTTCATGGTGGACATGAGACGTACAACTGGCAGTTAAAGAGAAGAAAGCAGTGTTCAAGAAACGGCTTGAAAACAAGGAGCCATCTACACGCGTGCGATATGTCGAGGCACGCAAGGCGGCAGCCATAGCAGT